CAGGGTCCCCAAAAGCCTGAAACATAGGCCTCACTCATCCCTACCTAAAGGCGAGCTCTGCAGTCAAATGCCAGTATTAATTCTTTGCCCCTGTTATGCTATAAATAATCATCAAAGTATTATATTTCCAAATCATGGCATCATTATTTTTCAAACACTCCCTCAACGAAAATAACTTACTTTTTGTATGTTTTTTTACCCAATCCCACAGTGCAGAACCAGTGGATCTAATGTTAAAATTATCACGCTAATGGGAAGTGTAACCTTAATAATGAAACTTCTTCTGTTTGTCTTTTGTGCTACAGAACATTTTTGTAGCTACTTTATCTTATTTTTATTATAATCCAATCAAAACATCAAAGTTTTCATGTATGTATTCATATACACAAACAGAGATACCCAGACACTAAATGTGTAAATGTTGTAGAATGAAGGCCTGGTATGTTGAAGTTTTTGCCTATGCCTGGCCTCTTACATTATGTTTAAAAAAGACTTTATGGGCAAATATGTCTGCAAAACGCATGCCATGAAATGAAGATATGGTTAAGCAGTACCCTCTGGTGGACTATAGGATGTACTGCTGAAACACACTCCAATAAATGCTGTAAATGGATAGGTTCACTTTTTTGTTAGCTGATTTGTATGTTAACAATGTATTATTTTATGTAAATGTTGGAGTGGTCAACACAAATAACACTCTCCTTGGAGAATTGCAATACAGGGCTGCAAAGCTGAAGAATGTGTGAGAAGAATTATAGAATAAGTCCAAGCTCAGAACATTGACTCTACAGATATGTTATGCTTAGATTGAGCATACACTGTAACCTCCAATCACACCAATCCTAAACAACTTGTGATATCGTAGTATAGCTACACTTTTTCACAATCAAGTTAGCAATTATGAGAGCAATGTGTCCAGAGACTGCCTTGTATTGAGGCACAAATCTGTCAGCTTTTTTCAAGGATTTGTCCCCACACCGTGCAGATGGAGGGACCTGTGCCTGTTTACTTCTGTAACTCCTGGGGGTTTTCTGTTCTCTCTCAACATCACTCAAAATTTAAATTCTGCATACACAGGATATATAATTAATTTTGCAAAAAACGTCGACTTTCCATAGTCCAATAAATGGAGACATAACCGTGAGAGTGATTTACTAAAGTGAGAATTGTTGGGAATTCAAAGTGCGGCCAAATGTCCCGGTATTTGAAAGCCAACATGCAGAGTGTAACCCAAAACTGGAATAAAACAATGTAGTCCTTAGAGTGGACGTGCTCTATGTAAAAAGACAGAGAATGGTCAGACAAGCCAGGTATATGGGAGCCAGAAGTCAGAAGAACGAAAGACAAAGCCCGTCAAGCGTACCAAGGAGGAGAATAGTCGGAATAAGCTGAAGTAAAAACTAGCAATAATATAATATATAGGGACAGGCCCGGACTGGCCATCGGGCACACCGGGCAAATGCCCGGTGGGCCGCGGTGGCCATGGGGCCGAGGCCGGCAGGGGAGGTCACAGGATCTCCCCGGGCGGCCCCTGCAGGGCCGGCACTGTCCCAGCGCCGGCCCCGCTGTCTGCCACGACGGGCCGGTGGGGAGATCAAAGCTCTCCCTCACCGGCCCACATGCGGCCGCCGGCGGGGAGGGAGGGAGGGAGCCAGGCTGGAGAGAGGACCCGGCGGAGATCTAATTTGCAGCTCCGCCGGGTTCCTCTCGCGAGATCCGGCGGCTTGCCATGGCAACGACCGGATCTCGCGAGAGTTCACTCACCCACGAGGACCACCAGGGAACCCCGCCACCCCGCCTGCCAGGTGCCAGCGTGCCGGTCCCCCCCCCCAGGCTAAAGGTAAGAAGGGAGGGGGGGGAATAATACCTGTTTTTTTTACCCCCACACACAGCACTCTCTCACCCATCACACACAGCACCTCACACCCATCACACACAGCACCTCTCACACAGCACTCACACACACATCATACACAGCACTCTCATACACAGCACTCACACCATCATACACAGCACTCACACACACTCATACACACTCACACCCATCATACACAGCACCCACCCCATCACACACACCTCACACCCATCACACACAGCACCCACCCTCCCATCACACACAGCACTCACACCCATGACACACAGCACCTCACCCATCACACCTAGCACTCTCACACTCAGCACTCCACACCTCAGCACTCTCACACACAGCACTCTCACACATCATACACACACTCTCACACACAGCACTCTCACACACATCATACACAGCACTCTCACAGTCAGCACTCTCACACTCAGCACACTCAGCACTCTCACACACATCATACACAGCACTCACACCCATCACACACAGCACTCTCTCACCCATCACACACAACACTCTCTCACACAGCACTCTCTCACCCATCACACACAACACTCTCACACCCATCACACACAGCACTCTCTCACACAACACTCTCACACTCAGCACTCTCACACACGGCACTCTCACACCCATCACTCACACCGCACCCTCACATACACACAGAACCTCCCCAACACACTGCACCACACACATACTTCCAAATATATATATATATGTATATATATATATATATATATACACACACACACACACACACTACACTCTTAAAGGACCACTCTAGCCACCCAGACCACTTCAGCTTAATGAAGTGGTCTTGGTGCCAGGTCCTTCTAGGGTTAACCAATTGTTTTATAAACATAGCAGTTTCAGAGAAACTGCTATGTTTATCAATGGGTTAAGCCTTCCCCCAAAGCCTCTAGCAGCTGTCTCATTGACAGCCGCTAGAGGCGCTTGCGTGCTTTTCACTGTGAAAATCACAGTGAGAGCACGCAAGCGTCCATAGGAAAGCATTATAAATGCTTTCCTATGCGACCGGCTGAATGCGTGCGCAGCTCTTGCCGCACGTGCGCATTCAGCCGACGGGGCGGATCGGAGGAGAGCTCCCCGCCCGGCGCTGGAAAAAGGTAAGTTTTAACCCCTTTCCAGAGCCGGGCGGGAGGGGGTCCCTGAGCCACATATGCATCACATTACACCACAAACACAACACGACTAAAACCGACCTTATTACACAATACCACACCACGACCAGCTCACTCTACACACACGCAATACCACAAGCAGGCTCCAAACACATGCACAATACTCTTTCCTGGCCTTTTGTCTCCTGGTATCCATTTATAGAGACACCAGAGACAAGTTGCAAGGAAACACAGTGCAAGCATGTTATTAAATTTGCTTGCACTGTGCAGAACAAATACAGGACTTTTTTCTCATGCTAGAGCTCTTCATCAGAGCTCTGCGCATGGTCTGCCCTGGAAGAGCATTGAACCAACATGCTCACTTTGAGAGGAGGCATGTTTGTCATTGGTGATGACAAAACACACCTCCTCTGCCCCGCCCCCTTTTTAGTGGGCCGCTGTGTTAAAAAAATGCCCGGGCCGAATTTTTCTCCCAGTCCGGCCCTGTATAGGGAAGTTATTGGGACACATAAGGAACCAAAACAGAGCATAGAACAGAGACCAATGTGGCTCATTAGGCGATTAGCCATGGCCAAAAATGCGAGGGGTCGTTGAAACTGATGTGTTTGGGAGTTAGTAGCGTAATGATATTGAGATGCGCTTGTCACGTCCTAAAAGGGGTGAAGTCACATCACCCAACATCTGGACCACTGGGGAAGCAGCAGAGGCATGAGAAAGGACACAGTTAGCCTCCAGATCCCCACGTGGGTGCCCCAGGGAGGCCAAAACAAAAGGTATCCTGAAAATTAAATAGTTGAATTAGGGCAATACTACAAGTCAGCTATGCTTCCAGTTAGGCTATTTTAGCCTTAAATAAAAAATAAAATAAAAAATGTTCTTGGAATTCCCAACAATTCTCACTCAAGTGAAAAACACTGTATGTTACATTGACACTTGTGAATTCTGTGTTCTGTGGTGCAAAACTTAAAGGGACACTAAAGTCACCCGAACCATTTCATCTCAATGAAGTGGTCTGGGTGCAGTAACCTTGTCCTTTTTAAACATTGCAGTTTTTTTTAGAACAACCACTCTATGTGGAGCACTGGATTGGACCATCGCGGAGGAGGCCATACCTCATGGGATTTCACGAGAGGCAAACAAGTGAACAGCGCTGAAAAAGGTAAGTAAAACATTTATTTTATTAATTTTTATTGCCAATGGGATTCATCCTATATATACCTAGTTATAGGGACACTATAGCAATAGGAAACCAAGTTGTTTATTTATTTGTATTTCTAACACTAAAGTGTTTAAAAATACTGCCCTGCATCGGTGGAAGGTCCAGGCAATGAACATGACGCTATATTGTATTGAATTTTGGACTGGTGGTGAGTCTTTTGTTCCATACTAGGAATTGTGGAGAATTAACAGAGAATTGCACATTTTAAACCAAAATGTATTCAACCTGGAAAAACAGCAGATTTAGACAAAATAGAATTTAAAAAAATGAGGGGCAGGGACAGCCACATGTGGCTTGGGCTCCTCAGCGTAAATCTCTTATTGGGCCTGCTAATCAACTTAACCACTTTGCTTTTGTTACAAATCGTGATTAATCTACTAGGGTATACTCTGCTGAGTGTTTGTCCTGCTTCTGCCTGATTCCGGAGGGTGTAACCCATGCTAGCTGTATCTGAGGGCTGCAGACGTATTTGATCCTCTGCCCTGGTTCGAAGATAGCTTGTTCCTGGGCCCTGTTCCCTTAGGACCGGTGGGGGATATCCCGGTCCCCACTAGAGGACTCTTGTGCTCTCCTCAACAAGGAATTATAATTAAAAGCAGATTGTAGGGTTGAGGCCTGTCTCTCAAAATGGCCACCATGCTGGAAACTGCTCCTCCATGGACCTCCTTCTCTTGGGGACCCAGATCCTGCAAGCCTACGACTGCCTCTGTGCTCTATTCTGGGTGAAATTTAATTCCTCTTGCCATGTGCAGAGCTACGACTCCACAGTTCCTGAATGCTAGACGATGCCGTGTGGTGGGGTCTATTCCAGGCGTCCCTCACAGAATATCATGGAAGTGGAGGCGCAAGCAGACACAGCGGCCAGCGCATCATATCCGATGGTCAAGCTTTCAAGCCAGCTGCTACTTGCCCAGATTGCGAGCCGCTCTGGCGTATCTCCCAGGTGTGCTGTCCGCAGTCGGAGGGCTTCACCTATGCAGCGCTGGACGCCGGAAAAGAGAGGATCGCAATAACAAGCACCCCAGCTGACAAGTACAGGCAGCTGCAGTCCTCAAGGGCTCACAGGTTCTCACATCATAACTGAGTGTGTTGCGGCTTGGGCCCGGTGGGGCGACCTGCACAATGTGGCTGGACATCAGTTTACTACTGACAAAGTCTCTCCTTCTGTGGGCATAGGATGAGTTGACTACCGAAAAGACTACCGAAAGTAAGCACAGTGGCAGCTATTAAGCATTCCCGCCTTAATACAGAGACTTATAATGCATACTGATGGGTTGCCTTGAACGCCAGCACAGACTCTTACCTGACTGACTCAGGGGTAACACGGGGTGGTTACTCTAAGCATTGAAGCACAACTCTTATTGTTCACACTGCTATTAAGCTTGTCTTTTTTATTATTCTTAACATGAGACTTGCATATTTCTTTATAAGCATAAGTGTACTTATCTATGATACTCGAAAGGTATATGCATACTTAACCTAGCATGTCATATTATACTAAAAAATGTGCAAGATATCTACATGCCATGTTTATGTTATACCCAATGAAAACCACGCTTGTGACAGCTATTGTGGCTATACAAGCACTGCTGTAATCCCATGCACAACAAAAATAAAAAATTAAAAAAATTAAAAAAATGTCACCGTAAACTTGTTAAATACCATATGCACTGCAAAAATAAAGAATTATTAAAAAAAATAAAAAAAATAAAAAAAATACTGCTCTGCACCGGGAAAATAGGGAAATATTCAGAGATCTAGACTTAGGGGAATTTTATTAATTGGCCACTTACCTGGAAGAACGCCGTGCTGAATGGTCCACCGAGAGGTGATGAGTAGTGATGTCCCGAACGGTTCGCCGAACGGTTCGCCACAAACTCATCATTGAGTAAACTTTGACCCTGTACCTCACAGTCAGCAGACACATTCCAGCCAATCAGCAGCAGACCCTCCCTCCCAGACCCTCCCGCCTCCTGGACAGCTCAATAAGAATGCAGCTTCAAAATGGATGCTGTCCAGGAGGTGGGAGGGTCTTGGCGAACCGTTCGGGACATCACTAGTGATGAGCAACCCCAATGAATCCATGGTTGCGTTTCTTGTTAGTTTTTATATTTACTTTGTTTTATAATTTCTCCTTTCATGAAAACATATGGGTCTACTACACAGGGATGATGTAATATAGGACTGCAGACAGTGACAGTACCTAAACCTTGAAAGAAAGACGACACACTTTATACACTTCTGTTTAGCATTCAATCATTGTCTTAGACACTTTCAACAAAATGTTATAATTATAATTGCTTATGTTGATGTGAAGCTGTGGAGCACTTTACAAGCAGTGCAGTTTATTGTACTTGTTCATGATGATGTAATGCCATGTTTCATGCTTAGAAACCTAAAATAAACTTTAAGTTCCAAAAAAAAAATACTGCCCAGCAGTATGTGGAATTCTTAAGCTTACAGTGTAAAATCAATTAGGTCACAGCTAGGTTATCAAACTAATTGAAAGAAAATCAGTGGATCAACGAGAAAGCAGTACAGCAAGTTCTTCTAAATTGAGTGAAGAAAAGCCCAAATGCCAGCTCAGACGTACTCGGTGTTCTCTCCTGTTATAGGGGGGTCCAAGAGCATGCCAGCTGGCCACTGTATGGACTGTGTGTTCACATCAGAGGCAGTGAGGGAGTTGTGATATTCCTGCTTTGCACACAACCACCTGTCCCACTGAACCCCAATGACAGATCCATGCCAGCTCTCCCAAAGGTAGGGAGGCTGGTTGGAAAAGTTAAAATAATAATATTTATAATTTGTGAGTGTGTGTCTGTGAAACTCCGCCATTGCCGGTCCCAAGCCCAGGTGAAAAAGGAGGAGGGTGGGGCGTGGGGCTAGCAACCTCACCCTGGAAAAAACCTCAACCACTACAGAAACACCAAAAAGAGAAACAGAGACAAATTTCCTGGAAGATGGAGGACCTCCAACAATTCGGAGACGAATAGGTGGTGAAAGCTGAAAGGAAGCCACCGAGCCAATTACCCTTCTTTCGACCAGGAGAACTCACATCGGCACATGGAATGTTAGGACCATGTACGAGACAGGCAAGATAAAGCAGATAGCTGCCAAAATGAAGAAGAACAACCTGATCAAACTAAGCATCACCGAAACCAGATGGACACAGACCTCAATGAAGTGGTCATCAGAGGAGACTGATGACAGGAGAGCTGTTGTTGTACTCCGGGCAGGAAGAGATATGTCTATATATATTTCATTTATTTGTCCTAGTTAAACTATTGTGATAATCAATATTAGTGCCTAGGAAATGCAATTGCTTTAACATAACCTCTTTCACAATCACTCCTACGCACTGAATATCCTACACCATTATTTTTTCTGTTATATGTATAAAAAAGTGCTGTAACTCTGACATTTATGAAGATCTTGCTTTCAACCTCATTGTATTTTTTCATTTAAAATGTCACTGTAGGGGTGGGGCCGGACCGCCATGCTGAGCGGACGCACGGAGAAACTGCTCCTGAAAAAGCATCGAATTTTAGCCCTTAAAACCTGGCAAAAACCTTACCAAACATCCTGCAGCTGTGCCCCGGTGCAAGAAGCACCCCTGGATCCGAGGAGAGGCTTGCCGCAAGGTTTTAGTCCCTTGGCAGGGTGATCCGCAAGATGGAGACCACCCGGGCGGTGAGCGGGGTGGACGGCCTCTACCCAGGTATCCTGCCCACCAGCGTTATGGCAGAACCCAGCAGCTAGGGAATAGGCTTTATGTTGTCCAAGCAAGCACAAAGGGAACTGATTGGATGGGAGGCGCACGGCCTCAGAATCATCACAGCATCCATCAGAACCAATCATAAGAAGGTTTAGCTGAACGTTATCCAGAGTTACACTCCAACCAATGATTCCGATGAAAAAGACGAGTTTTACAATAGACTGCAGAAAATCGTAGAGACATTCTGAGCCAGAGACATCGTCATCCTTATGGGAGACTTCAACGCCAAGATTGGACCCGACAACACAGGATATAAACAAGTCATGGGGATACACGGGCTGGGAGTGCAGAGAGATTTGCGGAATTGTGTGCGCTCAACAACCTGGTCATTGGAGGTAACATCTTTCCTCACAAGCGGATTCACAAAAACACCTGGTTATCACTGGATAGTGTGACAGAGAACTAGATTGACCTCATCTGCATTAGCAAGAAGTTTAGAAGATCCCTGCAGAATGTTAGAGTTAGAAGAGGAGCAGATGTGGCATCCGACGACCACCTAGTAGTAGCCAGCATGCAGCTGAAGTTAAAAAAGAACTGTATGGAAACAACATAGTGTAGAGTAAAGTATGATGTCAGCCGCCTAAGGATCACCAGCATCAGGGAGGATTTTGGATTTCAGTTGAAGAACAAGTTTGAGGTGCTACATGAGCTGCACGAGAAAGAGGAAAGAAGCATTGTACAGGCCAGCTGGCAGATAATAAAAGACACTGAGAACGGCCTGTCAAGAAGTGGTCGGAGCAAAGAAACATCGCCACAAAGAGTGAATCACAGCTGAGACCTTGGGCAAGATAGAAGAGAGAAAATAGAAAAGGGTGGCAGTAAACAACAGCAGGACTAGGGCAGAAAGAGCCAAGGCTCAAGTGCAATATGCAGAAGCCCACAGAGCAGTGAAGAAGAGCATTAGAAAGGACAAGAAAGACTACATAGATGGACTGGCAGCTGAAGCAGAACAGGCATATGGAAGCTCCTCCGGCATTACGGCATCCCAGTCAAGGTGGTCAACCTGATCAAGTGCTCATACAAGGGAATGACCTGCAGAGTGATACATGGAGGACAGCTTACCAACAGCTTCCAGGTGTCTATGAGTGTCTGTGTGTGTGTCTATGAGTTTCTGTGAGCGTGTCTGTGAGTGTATGTGTGTGTGTGTGTCTGTGCACTCTGCTTCCTGCAGGCAGGGGAAGCAGTGACATGACCTGGTATCCCGGCTACTCCCTGCCTGTGAACACCGGAAGCTCTCTGAGGGGAACAGGAAGCAGCCTGTGCTCAAAGTGCATGGCTCTCCTGCTCCCCCAGCAGAAAGAAGAGCAACTTCCTGCAGCCTGGACCTTTCTTCCTCTTAACATCATCCAGGTATGGCATGGCTAAGGAGGATTGTTTATTGTATGAATGGTTGTAAATTCTGTGTGTGTGTGTGTTATATTGCTCTATTTTTATGTGTGTAAATAAAGTGTGACTTTGTGTAAAGTTGTGTGAGTTTGTGTTTGAGTGAGTGTGTGTTGGAGTGTGCAAGTGACAGTGTGTGTGTGTTATGAGAGTCTGTAAGTGACTGTGTGTGTGTTAGAGTGTGCAAGTGACTGTGTGTGTGACTGTGTGTGTGTGTGGGCAAGTGACACTGTATGTGTATGTGATAGTATGTGTGTTAGTGAGACTGTGTAAGTGACACTGTGTATGTCAGTGAGTGTGTGTTTGTTAGTGAGAGCGTCTCTTTCTTTCCCTAAATGTGTGCTCACTATGTCTCTCTCCTAAATGTCTCAACAGTCTCTCTATCCTTTCCCTAGATGTCTCCCCAGGCTGTTTCCTGCTTTGTGCGTCTGCTTTCACTTAAAGAGACACTATAGGCACCCAGACCACTGAACCTTATACAGATAAGTCTAAATAAAATCCTAAGTACCCCTGTCTCAAAAAAGTTATGTGCATTGATTTAAATTTAAAATAAAACGTGTAGATACTGATATTTAAATAAACTCGTATTGGCGAACAAACCTAATTAAAAGTAGTAGAGAATATTTTTTAAATAAATATGTCACACACACTCACTGAGGGCACTGACATACACACATTTACACACTGAAGGCATTGACATACACACATTTACACACAGGAAACTGACACACAAACATGTAGTTTGGGGCAAAATATACAAGACTAAATCAGAAAACATTTTTTATGTATTTGAAAATAAAATAAATCATCAATTGCTTGGACAGTTAATGGATACCTTGTATAAGACCTACATTGTATCACCACTGCTAAAGCTACCTAGTATTTAAACTAGGAGGGGGGGGCAAAAGGGTGATAAAACATCAATC